GTCCTATCCGAGTCCTTTTACCTACCAGTATCGCAGCAACCCGCCTCCAAAACGACCTACACTGTGTCGACAGAGGTGTCAATCTATAAAAATAATTAATAATAATTGCATTTATATAGCGCATATCCACGCTCAAAAGCATGCTCTATGCGCTTTACAACTATTATTACCCCAGCAGACCCTCTGAGAACACTCAGAAACATTCTCGGCTTCCGCGGAAGCATACAGTGCAAGCTGCGGATTTCGCGCGCTCAAACACTACCAAACTGACAAGATCTTTCACTGTCTATAGCTGGGTACCCATTTCCACCTGAGTGAAGTGAGGAAAATTTGTACAAAGTGCCTTTCCCAAGGACACAACGGATTCGAACCCACGACCTTACGGTTGCGAGTCGGAGAGCCTAACCACTAGGCCACCGACCTACCTATAAAATAGTTAAGTACTTCACTATCGCACACAGGAAACCCGGGTTCGATTCCCGAGTGGGGAGAATATTTTCATCAAGTATCTTTGTCTTTCTACAGGCACGCAGAATCCCTCTCAGCCCGGGTTGGCCCTGACAGACAGGATCGGAAGGCTGCCTTCTATCTACCTGATCTAAATTGTGTCAATGGGGTCAGAAGAAAAACCTTCATTTATTTTTATCCATCCACAGCAAACAAACACCCCCCCCCCCCCCCCCACAATTATCCACCGCCATCAGTCGCTACTCACCTCCAACAAACGTCACGCACTAACCCATTCTTCAGTTACACTCTCCTGATGTGCCAAGGTCAATTAGGTGACCATGACCCCTCTCCAGCTGACCGACCTCCAGGACACATGTGGACGTCGACGTCCACGTCATCAGCCTGCAGCTTCCCGTCACGTGATCTCCGGTGGTTACAATAATAATATATAGGTCAGTGGTAGTGGTAGGCTGGGGCGTGCCCTGGCACTTCCGTGTGTTGTCCGCTGGTTCTTTTGAGTTGTCTGGAAAGAAAGGGAAGAGATAGCTTAGTGACAAAAACAAACGTTTTGTTGGCTTTTTAATTTTGGTTGTCTTCGCTTAGATCGTCATCCTTCAACAGTTCATTAATATAGTCGACGAAAGAGAGAGAAAGAGAGAGAGAGAGAGAGAGAGAGAGAGAGAGAGAGAGAGAGAGAGAGAGGGGGGGGATGGAGGTGAGGGAGAGGGGTCAGGGAGAGTGGGAGGAAGAGAGAGAAGGTGAGAGAACAAGAGAGATAAAGAGAGAAATAAAAAGAGAAGGGAGAAAGAGAGAGAAGGGAAG